CCCCCCCCGGACCGCCGAGCTTGTAATGAGCCTGGCGGTCCTAGGAGGTATTATCGGCAATATCGGTATTTATATTGGCCGATACCGATATTGCCGAAAATACTGAATATCGGTAAAACAGATAATCGGTCAATCCCTAATTTTAATGCAATGCCTGTCAATGCTGTCGGGGTGCTACAGGCCTGTTTGCTATTTTTTGCATAATAAAAATAAAGAATTAAAAATAAATAAAAAATAAATGAAAATGCACCAAAAAAACAACAACAAAAAACCCACTCCATTAATGCCTGTGAGTCTCTAAGAAAGAAGAGCTGGAATCAGGGGTCATGTTCAGCAGATGGTGAGGAACATGTGAATGGAGATGAGAAGATCTGTTTAAAATAAATTAACTAGCAAATGCATGGAATATCTACCTGCACCATGATAGATATAATAATACAGTATATTACAAATTATAATAACTATAATAAAAAACAACAACAACATATATACACACACATTCAGAAATAGACCTATGCATGACAAGACAATTTAGTTTGGCAATTTTAATAAATATAGAATATTTTTGTTTTCTTTTTTTACAGATTTTTCCTTTGTTAGTCACTTCACAATTGATCTGTGAATAAAATAAAAAATTAAACACTAAGTGACTGTCCCCAGTCACCAATAAAAACAAACATACTTGCCCATTGTTTGGTTTGTGATTCTAGTAAATTTCAGCTCAGAGTTCAGGAGTTTGATGGATTACTCCTTTGGCCCAAATCTGGATAAATTGCCATTTTGGCTGAAAGGAATCTCCAGGTCTATTTATAAAGCAGTGTTCGAATATTTCATACAGTCACAGATAACATAATACAGGGAGGGATGTCCATTTTATGGTGAAATAGTCACAGATGTTCTATAGCAGCTGGCATACAAAAAAGGTTGGATATGTCGCTGGATTTAGAACCTTTACTCTATTCTGCTTAACATGAGTAATCAGAGGACAAACTGCAATGTAGATTGTAATTTACTTTTTACCTGCATCATCAGAGGCACTTGTGTACTATGAGATCCCTTAGCAAGACATTTAAATATTTTTTTTTAATGGCAATTAAGGAATATTACTGTATTTACTCAAATCTAATGCGCACTTTTTTTGGAAAAGATTTAAATGCGCTTTAGATTCGATGGCGCATTCCCGGGGGCAACTGTGGCCCGGATTACAACACCCTCCATAGAACTCTTTTGACAGAGTACTAGGGCCTGATTTACCTGCAGAACCGGACACGGGTTTACGACCCAAGCCCACTCAACAGTAGAACTCTGTTAATCTTCAGTTGAAACTTGAGACTTTTTTTTTTATACTGTTTTTTTTCTTATATTGTTTATTTCAGTTGCATTTCATTAGTATTTTCTTTGTAACTTTAACTCTTACAGGCGATTAATGCTTTGTGACCACTGGTGGTCGTTGCTTGTTTTCCCTATTGTTCACCCTAGCTTCTCCCTATCCCAGAGAGTGTGGGGACCTGTGTGATGTGTTTCCATGTGTACACGAGAGGGTTCACAGGGAGGAAGTGGGGAGAGGGCGCCGGGAGGAGGGGATAAAAGGGGTAATAGACCCCAAGAATTTGTAAGAGGCTGTACAGGAGTGCCTGAGGTGCTCGATAACTATAGGTAGTGGTGTTTCAGTGAGATTTTTATTGGCATTTGTAATAACACAAAACTGTTTTGCTCTAATGATTTTTATTGACAAAAAAAATAAAAAATGGGGAATCCTTGTTTATGCGGAATATTTTATGATGCCACATCATAAATAAAGAATTAAAAAAAAAAAAAAAACATTTCATTCTCAGAAAGTTGCCCCTGGCTTTGAAAGAAATTAACCAGGAACCCCAGCAAAGTGGCCCTTTCTTGTCAATAAATTCCCCAGGTGCTCCAGTTTTTGTAATAGGTTGGAAAAGTGGCCCCTGCTTCCCAACAGACATCCTGTATCTAAATGAAAAATGGTCCCTGCTCACAAATACACACCTGGTTTACCAAAGCAAAGTGGCACCAAAACAATTTTGCCTAGCCTGGGTCAATACCATTACAGTAGTAAATCGACCAGGAACACAAACACCTATTTTTGCTAAATAAAGTTATGTTAGTTTACACTTTACACAATCATTCATATACCTAATTTATTATAATAAAAATTAAAAACAAAACACCATGATACTAATCTCAAGACAAAATTGAGGAAGGGTAGGAGAAGGGGTCCTTTTGCCCACTCCACCATGTGGATAAGTACAAGATAAAGCATCTTGGGCGTAAAACCCCAAGGCCAGATTCTAAAATATTTGATTCAGCCCTAACGTTAACATCTGAGGATTTAGGAGTAATTATTTCAGATAACTTAAAGGTGTTAGAGCAGCAGAAAATGCTAGCAGAATGCTTGGTTGTATAGGGAGAGGTATTAGCAGTAGAAAGAGGGAAGTGCTCATGCCATTGTACAGAACACTGGTGAGACCTCACTTGGAGTATTGTACGCAGTACTGGAGACCGTATCTTCAGAAGGATATTGATACTTGTGTCCAATAAAAATAATATAGAATTGTGTTTATACCATCATAACATAGGAATACGTTTATATTGTGCTGGCAATGATAGTGTTAATAGTATGCTGACAGTCATTATTGATAAATAAAGGCAAACCTTTCTGGAAAGCGGTGATTATTATGTTTGTGTCATGGTGGTGATAGATATTTAACCTATGACAGCAGAAGGTGTGTGTGAATGGCAGCTGTGGGAGCTGGTCCTCCCTTCAGCCAAAATATCCCATTTATTTTCTACACAAAAACAGCTGTCACAGCCATCATTTATTCTCAGATTTTAAGAGTGTCAAGGCTCTGAGATTCCTTTGGTTTGAAAATGTGAAAAGTTAAGGTACAAAGTGTGTAGAAATTGTAAAAAAAATAAAATAAAAAAAGGGGCATGCATGTTAGTTGAAAGTATTTTTATGCATTTTTTTTTAAACTATATATGTATATTTAAAGAAATGGAGGTCATGTAGTTACTCCAATGGCCATTGGAGGGAATGCTCGCCTGCCAACGTCAGGTGGGTCCTACACTGACTTTTTACCCTGCTTCCTTGAGCCTCTGGCAAAGATCTCTAATTAGGCAGAGAGGGGTATTTTTTTTTTTATATACACCCCTATATACAGTACTTATTAACCCTTAATAGGAAACACATGGGATGGGTGGCAGCATTGTAACATAGCTGTGTGATACAAAAAGTTATGCGCTCACTCCCATCACTCCTGGGCGGCAGCAACGACCACAGTACACATCAGGCCCAATACATACAGTAAAAACCAAAGGCCCTTTGAGTCCTTAACGTTTGCAGGTAGGCATTCCCTCCAATGGCCATTGGAGTATTTAAATTACCTCCATTTGTTTAAATATACATAGGGATTTAGGAGAAAGCGCAGGTAATTTTTTTCTTTGTTTTTTACTGTATGTATTGGGGCTGATGGTCATTGCTCCCGCCCAGGAGTGAGCGCAGGACTTGTTTTTTTTGTATGTATGTATATGTATATATATATATATATATATATATATATATATATATATATATATATATAGCAATATAGAGTTTCACTTGTGGGTGATATTAGTCAAAGCTATTTTTAACAAAATGCATTGGCTGCCCATGACACATTGCTTGTAGCTAGTTTTGTGTAGATGCCACTGAAGCCAAAACAGACTGTCTTTCCCATGTATGTGTTGCACCCCTCTGTTTCTTTTAAATTTTGTCACAGTACGGGGGTTATTTCTGACCAGTGCTGAATAATTTGGAGTTTGGAGTGAGCATGAGACTCTGAGTCTGGTGGATCTATCTCTTGGAGCTGATACATTAGTTTTAAGAAAGAAGTGGTTGTGTTTATGCTAGTTTTTTTAATGTTTTATCACTAAAGCTGTCTAATGTTGACAAACAAAGCTGTGGCCAAGTTCTATCCCACTAGCTCGGTATCTGTGTAAATTTATTGCAGTGGGATACTTGGTTGCTACATGACTGACCTCTTTTTCTTCAGTGTAAAACTAGAACTTGATCTTGCATGACATCAAGTTTTACAACAAGAAAAGTTCTGCAGACAAACAAAAATACCACTTTCTGCAGGGAGATTGCTGGGTCTCTTACAATGGACAGGAGAGCCTCTTGGATGAACAGCCTAGGCTGGGAGACCTCAGATAGGGGGATAGGTACATAGAAGTGTCAGTCGGGCCCAGGCCCAGACACAATCTTGAAGATGGTAATTTATGCAGCATTGCGTTTCTCTTGTGCTAGAGAGCCTAAATTAAACATCTAACATCACCTTATTAAAGCTACAGACTAGAACAGTCAAGAGAACAGTGAGGGAAAAAAAAGGTGGAGTCAGCAGCAATTTGTCTTGAAGTTTAGACTCCTTCCCAGGGGACTTCAGGAAGGAGAGCAGATCCCTGGTAATAAATGTCATTACAGTCTATATCCACAGGGAGGAATTCCTGTCCAGATACCTCCACTGGGGACACATTATAAGATGGGGAGCTAGTTAGTGCTATGTGAACTAAGAGGCAAATTAATCAACTTCCTCCATGCAAGATGCATCCTCTTCATCTTTCAGAGGTGGGATGTCATCAAGGATGGATGGTGAACTCTCTTCCACTGCAGCTTCATCCTCATCGATACCCAAACCAAGTTTAACCAATCTGTAGATATGGTTAGAGTGTGTCGGAAGATCGACAAGAGAGAAGCCAGATGACAGCAGAGTAGTTTCAAAGAGAAGAACCATCAGATCCTTTACTACCTTGTCATTCTTGTCAGATTCTGCTTTCTATACAGAGTAACAAGTAAGTATGGCGCTAAAAATTATTACACTAAAATTGCTATACAAAGCTGCACCTTACAATGTGTAAAAGCTCAAAACACATATAGTAATACAAAAAAATAAAATGCGCTGCTTTCTGCCTCCATGTCTCCACAATTGGGTGTTCTGGGTTTATCTCCAAGTGTTTCTTGGCCATCGTGTATCCCATGATGGAGTTATTGCGCAAAGCCTGTGCTCCATTTTGGTGGTCCATCTGTATGTGCTGGTCATAATACAGCAGGACACCAGACGGTTGGATACGGTAACCTGCTCAACTTCCTTGTCCAATATCTCCTTCATCAGCTTACACAGACTCTCAAACTTCGACTTGTTCTCCTCCATCATGATCTTCTCATCTTCATCTTCTGGCAGCACCAGACCTTGCTTTGTGACAGACACCAGGGTCATGCCATCAAACTTCTTTAGTTGCTGGACATAGTACTCACCAATGGGCTTTGTCATGTAGACCACTTTAAAACCACGCTTCCTCACCTGTTCCACAAAGGTCCTCACCTGTTCCACAAAGGCAGAATCTGCCACCTGCTCCTTGCTCTGATCTGTGATGTAACAGATGCGCTTCTGTTTTTCCTTCATGCATGACACATATTCGGTCAGAGATGCCATCTCATCTCCTGTCTGCGAAGTGTGGTACCGCAGGAGTTCAGACAACTGCTTCTGAGTTGTGGAGTCCATGTGGATGCCCAGCTTTAGGTTCTTGGAGAATGCTTCATACAAGTTCTTGTAGTTCTCCTTGTTTTCGGCCAACTCTGTGAAGAGCTCCAAGCATTTCTTCACAATGCTCTTGCGGATTACCTTCAAGATCTTACTCCGTTGCAGAATTTTTTTTGGCAATGTTTAATGGCAAGTTCAGGTATTCCTGGCTCAACTCATCACAGCTGTCTATGATGAACACACTGTGCACATATAGCTTAATGTTTTTATTCTTCTTCTTGTTCTCAAACAGGTCAAATGGAACCCGTCTAGGAATGAATAACAAGGCCCGGAACTCCTGCTGGCCTTCAACAGAGAAGTGCTTAACAGCCAAGTGCTCCATACTCCTCCTGGCTGATATCATCCGGTTTACGTGTCCAAATGGGTTTGGTCTTGTTCAGCTCCTCTTGGTCAATGTATTTTTCTTTGATTTTCTTTGTTTTCTTCTTTTTGTCTTTTCTCTCCTCTTCCTCATCTGAGCCCACATCCTCTATCTTGGGTTTGTCCTCTCCGTTGTCCTCATCTTTTTTTCTCTTCCTCCTTCTCATCCTCTGCCTCATCATTGCTGTTCTGCTTCTCTAGATAGAGAGTGACTGGGTATCCCAAAAAGAAAAAAAGAAAAAATAATAATAAAAAAAATCGAGAGTGTTTCTTAATAGTGATGTCGCGAACCGTTCGCGAACTTGCCGCAAACGGTTCGCCACGAACCGTTCGCGGCGAACTCCGGTCAGCTGACATATCCCTGCCAATCTCCAGCAGACCCTCCCTCCCAGACCTTCCTACTTCCTGGACAGCATCCATGTTGAACGGTTCGCGACATCACTATTTCTTAACCATGTCCTTCACAGGGTTCTCCTCCAGATACTCAGTCTTGTCCTCTTTCAAATGTAGGATGACCTTGGTGCCGCATTCAATGAGTTCACCATGGTCTACCTTTACTGTGAAAGAGCCACCAGCCGAGGATTCCCACGCATACTGCTCATCATCTTTGTTTTTGGTCATCACTGAAACCTTGTCGGCCACATGGTAGGCAGAGTAGAGCCCCACACCAAACTGCCCGATTGTGGAGAAATCTGCTCCAGCCTGCAGGGCCTCCATGAAAGCTTTGGTTCCAGATTTGGCAATTTTTCCCAGGTTGTTGATCAAACCAGCCTTTGTCATGCCAATCCCGGTGTCAATGAGAGTCAGAGCTTGTTCCTGCCAGTTGGGGGATGACATCTATTTTCATATCTTTACCACTGTCCAGCTTGGATGGATCAGTGAGAGTCTCATAGTGGATTTTATCCAGAGCATCAGAGGCATTTGAGACCAGCTCTCGCAAGAATATTTCTTTGTTGGAATAGAAGGTGTTAATAATCAGTGACATGAGCTGTGCAATCTCAGCCTGGAAGGTGAATGTCTCCACCTCCTCGCCATGTTTGTCTTCTTCTGGCATCTTGTATTAGAGTAGGTCTAGATTTGCAATGAGTCCGCTGGCAGTTGCTGCAGGAAGGGGCAACATACCCCCATAAAACCACTTTAGGAAATTACCAGTTTAATGTAGAGATACCTACAAAGTTTGTGTAAAGATTTAGCTGGGGTAGGAGAGATAACTTGGGGAGTATTTCTGCATCTTCACCAGAGAACCATCACTCCTTGGATTATTGAGGTTCATCTTTAAACTTCCTTAAAGGGACACTATAGGGTCAGGAACACAAACATGTATTCCTGACCCTATAGTGCTAAAAACCACCATCTAGCCCCACTGAGCCCCTCATGCCTCCCTAAACATAGCAAAATCTTACTTTTATTCAAGCCTGAAGCTGTAGCTCTGCATGCTGTTTGCCTCAGAATAGCAAGCTGTCTGCTGACATCATCAGAAGTGGTAGCCTTATCCAATCACAGTGCTTCTCCGTAGAAGGCTGAGACTGATAAGGAGCCCATCTTAGGTCTTTATGCAGTCATGACTTGACTGTGAGACCTCCGCTCAGTCAAAAGACACACCATTGTATATGCCATGTATGAACAGGCAAATGACACATGCCCACCGACTGCACCCTGTTTGTTTATTGACATCCTGCCAGCAAGAATGCATATTTACATTTTTATTGTCATTTCTTTCTCTCTCTTTTTGAAATGTTGGTATCACAATTTTTTTTACAATGTCTATATGAATGGATAGCAGAATGGGTATTATTTGGTAAGTTACAGGTAAAAGAATGGCATCCCTCCCACTCATCTATTTAACAGTCATGGTGGAGGAACAAAGCTGTTAAACTGAACAGTCTTGGCATCCTTATGACATAGCAACTGTGGAGGGGAAAGTTGGTGAATAATAATGGAAACGAAACTGGATAGCCCTCTTGTATTCAAATTAAGGGGGCATGGTGGCACAATTTTGTGTCAAAGGTATTGGGCATCCATTTGGTACACACTGGATATTGAAATGGAAGGATTTAGCTGGCGTAGGAGAGAGAACCATCACTCCTTGGATTATTGAGTTTCATCTTTAAACTTCCTTAAAGGAACACTATAGGGTCAGGAACACAAACATGTATTCCTGACCCTATAGCTTTAAAACCACCATCTAGCCCCACTGGGCCCTTCATGCCTCCCTAAACATAGCAAAATCTTACTTTTATTCAAGCCTGAAGTTGTAGCTCTGCATGCTGTTTGCCTCAGAATAGCAAGCTGTCTGCTGACATCATCAGAAGTAGTGGCCTGATCCAATCACAGTGCTTCTCCATAGGATTGGCTGAGACTAACAAGGAGCCAGAACAGGGGCACAGCCAGCACAAGTCAAACACAGCTCTGGCCAATCAGCATCTCCTCATAGAGATGAATTGAATCAATGAATCTCTATGAGGAAAGTTCGGTGTCTGCATGCAGACGGAGGAGATACTGAATGTTTGGATGCATTTTAGGCAGCCATGACCCTGGAAGGATCTCTAACAGCCATCTAAGGAGTGGCCAGTGAAGTTATCACTAGGCTGTAATGTAAACACTGCATTTACTCTGAAAAGACAGTATTTACAGCAAAAAGCCTGTAGGTAATGATTCTACTCACCAGAACAAATTCAATAAGCTGTAGTTGTTCTGGTGAGTATAGTGTCCCTTTAAATAACAGAGATGCCTCATTTTTAATGATAAGGTCAGACCTTCATGTTAATCCAGATTTTAAGGGTTTTTTTGAAGCCTGGCAGAATGGTAATGAGCCATCATTGCAGATTTTTGTTTGATAGTTTTATTTGGCACCCTGGATGTAAACTTGCAAACCTATCTATTTATAAAGTTCTGTCTTCGTACAACAAAGGGTGGAATCCTCTCTTTATGTGTCAGCCAGCTAAAGTAGAGGCACTTTGATATTAAACAGGGAGGAACAACTTCTCCTCTTCCAGGTCTGAGAACAGAGCAGGTCGTTTTTATATTCAGCACATGGCGCAGTGATGTGAGCGCAGTCTGAATCTGTGAGTTGCTGCTAATGAAATATTCACCATCTGCAGGGAGACCAGATCCTTCTCCAACAACTAAAATGCTAAATTCTTATCCCATTATACAAACTCATTTTACAGGCACTCGCCAATCTTAAGATGAGTGAACAATGGTTGTTTAAGTCTCAATCCACAAAATAAATACATGTGTGTATGTGCGGTAAGTGGGGGCTGAGCAACAACATAAAACACAGTGGTGCAGTGGGGAGGAGAGGGAGGGGTTTACTGCCGTGAAGAACAGGTGGCAGTGGGTGCACAGAACACCCTTTCTCGCCAGAGCAGGTAACCTGCCTACCGGCGCATTGCTTGTGGGGGTGCCGAATGGCAGGTGCCTGCTCAACCGCTGATCTGGAACGGGATGCATAGCAGGTGACAAGGGAGCTACTAGAATCACTGAGCACAGATAGCCTAGCTCCCTCACCTCTGGATGCTGTGAACAAAGATGTGACATTTCCCTGGTCCTGTCATCAGTACAGGTATATTTTTTTTTTGGCATCAGTACAAATATATTTTCATGTGCGCAATTCACAAGGTACAATTAAAAACAAACTGGTGTAAATTGCAATTTACAAAAGAACAAGATATGTTCAGTATTTACGGACATAACCCTATCAGCCATGTAAACAAAAACCAACAACGGCCCCCCAAAAATTTCTGCTTCTGGGAGACCTCCGCATGTAACAAAGAGAACTGATCAGCTCTTTTATGGTGCACTTGTAAACTAATGATAGTTAAAGGGACACTATAGGCATCCAAACAACTTTAGCGTAATGAAGCAGGTTTGGTATATAGATCATGCCCCTGCAGTCTCACTGCTCGATTCTCTGCCATTTAGGAGTTAAAACACTTTGTTTATGCAGCCTTAGGTCTAGAAAGTATCAAGGGAGTTATAGTATCTACCACATGAGGAGTATCTACAATTTGAGCACCCCTGGACTACAGTTTAGTTAGTCGTTACTTTACCAAACCTTAAAGATTTCAGGTGTAGCATCACATGTATTTATCACTTCCAGCCTTAAAGGAAACCCTTAAGTATTAATATCTGCTAGTAGCTGAACACAGTATCATTTGTTTAAAAAAGATAATTTAAGCGAAGAGAACCTCATTAAATAAAAGGCTTTCTATTAAACTGCAATTATTTATGTATTGCTTAACCTGCATTGCAAAGTGTAGACTGTATGATTTTATTACAGAATTCACAAGACACCATTGCGGTTTGCCTGTACTTTAATTCAAAAATCAATGCATACGTTTATTATAGAAAAATTTTTTTTATTTAGTTCTTGTTCCAATTAAGCAGGGGCATCAAACATGTTGCCTGAAGGCCAAATGAGGCCCGCAGGACATCATGGTGCGACTCTCATAAGATCTGCAGTGGTAATAGCACCTCCAACTGCTGACCGCACATATAACTTGAAGCAGTGTGGGGAAACTACATTTCGGCACAGAGCACCGCATATAGTGTAGTCTGCATAATCCCTCCTCTACCTTGTGCATGAGGTCATGCACAAGGGTAGGAGGGAGGGAAGATAGAAGCGCACCAGGACAGCGTGAACATCATGCTGAAGATAGGTACAATATCCAGAAATGTTGACCTATGTTGCCAAGCGATGTTTGGGTTGACTTGGCTCTGTGAAAGCACCTTCTCAAGCAGCTGCTCAAATCCAAGCTGAGAGCCAAATTAAATGGTGTTAAAGGGATACTATAGTGCTAGGAATACAAAGCTATATTCCTGGCACTATTGCTCCCCCCGACCTCCCTCCTCCCTTGTGCCCGCCCTCCCCCCGCATTAAATAAAGGGTTAAAAACCTTATATTTACCTACCTTATCCTAGCCCCCATATCCTTCGGCGCTTGGTCGATGCTCCACCCCCTCTGATGACCCTCAATGAGCAGGCGCTAACGCGCATGCACTGCAAGTCCCGCTCGCACATTGAATCAATGCTTTCCTATGGGGGAAAAAAATCTGACGCTGGATGTCCTCATGCAGTAGGTGAGAAGTCCAACGTCCGATACCGGACAAAGGTTCCTTTCGATCCAGGAAGAGCCCCCCCCCCCCCAGTGGCTGTTAGACAGCCCCAGAGGGCAGACTTAGAGCTGCAATGTAAACACTGCATGTTCTCTGGAACTGCAATGTTTTACACTGCAGCACTAAGTGCAAAAGGGACACTGCACCCAGACCACTTCAATGACCTGAAGTGGTCTGGGTGCCTATAGTGTCCCTTTAACTTTTTTCCTAATTAAGATATGTCTTGACTGTATGCACGCCAGAGTTGTTCAGTCAGTTAGTTACTAGTACTCTCATTAGATTTTGTAATCCTATTGTGCAGTTTTAATTGGCTAAACTTGTTTTAAATGGTTTGTAGATCGACTCTGTTCTACTGTTTAAATTATTTTGTATTGTTAGAATCACATACAAAACTGTAGGTACTAGGGGCGTGGCCTGACTGTCAACCTGCATGGCCGCATAATCTGAGAGCTCCCGCTCATCCACTTTGCATCCAGCACTTACCAGCAGCATCGGAACGCACAAGCCCACACGAATCAACACACCATGTCTAGCGTGGGTTCTGGCGCAAAACCAGTGCATAAAAAGAGAGGAGAAGGATAGGATACCAACTTAACTCTGGCTGATCTATTTGCCGTCTCACGCTCAAATCAGGCCGCACAAGATGGCTGCCGACCGAGCCTATGTACAGGAAGGGGAAGCCTCCCAAATACTTACTGTAACGAAATCCCTTATTAAACAGACCATGCGAACCAGCCTGTTCGGTTATTTGGATGGTTACAGAGTGATTTTGTGCAAATATCGAGAAAAACAAATGAACTACCGAACCACCTGACCTCCCACTGAGGTCGTGTGGCGCCTATTAACCACCCAGACTGTTGCGGTTAACCACAGACTAATTGGGGAACAGCTGGTGGTCCGCGTTCGTTTACCAAACACGTGGCAATCGCCATTTTGGATTGTTGAACGCTCAGCGGTAAATGGCGAAGATTCCCTGGAACTAATTTCGGCTACTTATTTTGTCGAACACCGCTGCTACCTCTTCAAATCCTCGTTCGTACGGTGGAAAAACACACGAATGACGGAGATACTACTTCATTCGTGCGCTGGAAGTATGCGAAAGTGACCGACCCCAGATAGCTACAGTATGGAACTTGTAGTCGGCTACAAATACACGAATGGCCGGTGAAAGCCAAACTTCAGTCGACGTTTCTGAGAACTGTGTTCGTGGGATCTGAGCGCTATTCGCCTAGAATATGCACGCAGATCCAAGTTACCTGGGGATATGGGGGACTTAAAGTTTATGTTATGTAAAATGAAAGTTATAGATTTTTATGCTGTTTTGCTAAAATAAGAAAAGCCATGTTTCTTTATACCTGGAGATAATTAAGACTCTTTTTACTCACTACTTGCACTCAAGTTAATTATCTCCAGGATGGAAAAGAGGGAGTGATTTATGTAAAAAGGGAGTGCTTATACTATAGTAACTGTGATTGGCTACTGTGATACTTTTGTCCCAGTCTTCCATTTGGTCCCCTAGGGGAGTGTCCACAAGGTGGGAGACCTGCATAAATACCGGGCGGGTAGCCCACAGTAAATCAGAACGTTTTACCCCTTCATGAAGTCTCGACTCATGTTTAGGGGATTGAGAGTTATAATCACTTCGTTTCAGCTGGATTTCGGGAGAAGCTGCAAGGATCATCGCTGCACGAATAGAAGGATCCTTTACACTTACTAAGTTAGTGGAGGTCAGCAACTACCTAGCCAGCGAGATAGCACGAAGCTCGCAAGAGGTCAAGGCCAAAATACAAGCCCTGGGGATGCGCACAGGGGACCTGGAAAACAGGGTTGAAATAATAATCGGGGCCCACAACACCACAGTAGCTCACTCGCACTCCATGGACCGATAGCTCGGATACCTTGAAATGCTGCCGTCGCAACAACCTGCAAATCCAAAGCCTGTCTGAGGCTCCCAACAAACCCTGGTGGACAAAATGGAACACAATTTTAAACACCTCTTACCGGACGAAAAATGGGCGATCGATAGGGCGCACCGCGCGCCCGAAGAGCAGAGGGATCCCTGTCATCAGATATTATAATACACTTCCACTTTTTCTCCACAAAAGAAGCAATCTTGCTATACAGCAGAGAGCACGAAATGACCTATCAAGATGCCACCATCTCGGTTTATCAAGACTGATTTCCGTCCAACCTGCAGAGACGCCGCGAGTGGAAGCCCATTACAAAACAACTAAGAAAGAGGGACATTCGTTACACTTGGGGCCACTCTATAAACTAGTGGTCTTCAAAGATGGAAAAACCATAACTCTACTGCCGGTAGATGACCCGACCCAAGTCTTCACCAAACTGGGCATTACCCTTACAACGGAGCTGATCCTGCCCAAGCCGTCCCGCCCTGTGCTTCACACTCTCCCAAGATACTGGTACAGCACGAAGAAACCCACACAGTGGCACACTTGAGAGATGCCGGTGTGACTTGTGATGAATCAATGCTGGCAGCACGTACTCCCGAACTGTCAGAATCTTCCATGAGTACTATGCAGCTAAGTGTCTTATACAGGGGGAAAACAAAAAAGCAACACAGGGATAGATATGTTTATAATATCGATAACGGTTCATTATTTGGGTAACCTAATGCGGGGGGTGTGGGACGATGGGAATATGTATAAACAGGGTAATGTATACATGCATCCAGCAGCTGATTGGGTGGGTCATATTGGCACTCCGGTGGCTCGCAGTATCGCTATTGCACTACCCACTCACAGGGGGATGTGAGGGGCATGGTAGCCAGGGACATCTGTAGGATAAATCCCTCTCAAGATGTGCAGAGGGCACACCACCCTCCCACCAGCCCGCCCCGCATCCTAGCACGAACGGACAAACCCAGGATTCCTCTATAAACTGATTCCAAACTGTATACAGCTACCCCCTAAATATAGCAGTTCAAGAAAGGGGGACACAAGGGTGCCCTGGGCGGGACGACCCAAACCCTGCAGCACCCTGGTCCATCAGACCACTCAATCACTTTGATGGGGTGGGAGCATGGAGAGGGTGGTGGGGGAAACCAGAGGGGGCTACTCCTATCTGGGGAATACTTGTTCAACCAGTAGGGAGGCTCTGTGAGGGGGTGGGGCATGGAGAGGGTGTCGGGGGAAACCAGAGGGTTGCAAGAAAACTTACAGAAATGATAGGTTGAAGAGGGCCCTGCTCAAACGAGCTTACAATCTATAGGAGGTGGGGTATAAAACACATATGTATTTGGTTGTTTTTTTACTTTAAAGGTTATATATTGTTTGTGGCTCAGTTTGGCGATACCGGGGGAAAGAGTTTACAGACTACTTAGGCAAAGTCCCCCCTAGCAGCAACTTCACGAGATGGGAACAACAGCCAACGCTTCTGAATAGCCCTGGCCCTTAAAATAGTTGTAACGGAATGCCTCGGTAACATGACTGGTTACCCCTGCTAGTTCCCTTCCTTCAGCTGATCAGGAACTCTTACATGGTTAGGAGACTTAGCTCTATGCGCTCCCAGGAAGAGACAACAGCCGTGGAAGTTCTTAGTCCTTACAAGGACTTTTCCCCATTGCATCACCTGCAAGCTGGAACAACAGACACAGGAGTTAAATCTTCCTTTCCTCCAATAACCGGACGACACACAGTTTTGGAGGTTAGAACACTGAACTCTGCCAATCTTTATTGAAAACAGGCTTTTTTTACGCACAGACCCCCACCGGGGGTTTCCATTCCACACAATACATTTCTGTTAGTCCCAGGCAGAAGGGGGCTGGGTTACAGATAGCCATCTCCCGCCCTGGGAGATACCAACAGTACACAGGGATACACATTGCATTCATGGGGGGTACACTTTGGGGTTCGGCGCCCCAGGAAAGGAAGGGGTTACAAGGTTGAAACCTACATCGATAGATAGCCCCGGGTCCCATTTGGGATCGGATGCACAGAGCCAGAGATATCTCCCGACTCACAGCTCCAGAGATTCCCTGCTGGCACGCGTCCCTCTCTCTGGTGGATATTCCTCCTTAGTTCCCAGGTAGGGGGTTATTATAGCACTGTTGGGAGCAGGTAGGACGATCCCCGTCACTGGGACCCAAGACTGTGTGCACAGGACGGTTCGGGATACGAATGCTGCCCTTGGTGAGCGTTCGGTTATACGAACCCGCGGCCACCCAGGGGAAGCATGTGTTGCTCGTTTCCCTTCCGGTCTGCGGTTTTCACACCTCGTTAGGGAGATGTGAACATTCTAAATGGGGTATCGAGGTGGTCTGGTGCACGGGCTCCATGTGCCGGAGTACATTTTACTATTTAGATCGTAGTTGGAAGGCATATGCGTTCCAATTGTAGAAAAAGCTTTATTGTCCATATGCTGTATGTGCTTTATTGTCCATATGCTGTATGTGTGTTACATACCTGTCCTCATTTATATACCGAAGGACATATGAAAAATAAATAAAAACAAGTAATCATTATAACAAAATAATGATAACATCAATATATTGATATCTATATTCTAAAAATATGATAAAAAAGTGTGATAGAGTAAGTGCTTTATGAAAATGAAAGTGAATAGAAAAACACACTGAGTGTAGTTAATGCCCAAAAACATATAAAACACCATAATATGGGGACAGAATTATAAATAATATTCACATAATCTGAAAGGTACTTGAATGTATTGATGGAATCTATACTCAAGTCTCTACTTGTTGTAGGATTTCGTACATATTGTGTGGGAACATGATATTTGTATTAAAAGGACAGAACATAATTTGTCAAAAAGAAGGGGCAGAACATAAGAAATATAACATATTAAAATAATAAAATAGAATCTTATAATATTATTCAGAGAAACTTAAATGTATAACTAGAGTGGACTCTCCAATATTTAGTCACTACAGAGCTAAATGCAGAAAAAAATTATTGGTTCTTGGTTCCGAATCCCTCCTACTTCTATCTTCAGTTGTTTTGGTCCTGTTGTTCGTTAACAAAAGAACATACAACGAACAACAGGACTAAAACAACTGAAGATAGAATAATGAGGGATTTGGAACCAATAACTGTAGTAAGAAATCACCATACACAACAAAGATCTGGTTCACCTCCAACAGACACATCATCATCTTCGTTTTTTCGGAAGGATCCAACCATCAACAGGTTGCAGTGGTCCCAGAAAACACTTCCCCAAGAATCCCCCTGAAAGAGACAAAGGTCCATAGAGGAAGAAGAAGAAGAAGAAGGAGGAGAAGAACAAACATACAGAGAGAAATGGAACAAGAGACAAATGTAGAAGGAATCTTCAATTTAACAGAGCAAACCCTTTCTATAGAAGAAAAGGTCATTTTTAAGAAGGGTCTTAAGTTTGCACCCACATCAGATTTTAACAAATTTGATTTTTTTTATTGATGTCAATCATTTTACTAGAAAACTATCTCTTAAATTCTTTTATGGAAAAGATGAACCCCTCACATCCACACAAAATGAAAATTATATACACTCAGATCTTAAAGAAAGGTCCACCTTCTTCCCCAAACATATGATCTCTGATCAAATGAAGGCTTTTGAGATCGTAGTTATGAAGGAGGTAGACAAAATTAAAAAAAAATAATAGTTATCAACATAAGTTATCCCGCAGGGAACAAAAAACATTAAAAGAGATGAAAAAATATAAAAATACTATAATCAAACCGGCAGATTAGGGGGGAGGGATTGTTATCCATGATAAAGATAAATATATAAAAGAAGCAGAAAAAATTATTTTAGATCCGCTAACATATCAACGATTACCATGTAACCCTATGGGAGAGACACAAAAAAAGTTTGATAAATATATAACAAAAGAAAAAGAAGCCAATTACTTATCTATCACCAACCCTAGGATACTAGTTTTCTACCACCTGCCTAAGGTACATAAAGACCGATACAATCTACCAGGCAGACCTATAATATCAGGTATTGATTCAGTATCAACCCGAATATCAGAGAACATAGATGTTATGTTGCAACCTTTGGTAGTCAAAAACCCATACTACTTGAAGGATACTATCCACATGCTACAAATACTAGAACAAACTGAATGGCAGGAGGGTTATATTTTGGTTACATGTGACGTTATTTCACTATATGGCATTACCGCTCATAATAAAGGTCTTGAAGCAGCAAAATATTTTTAAGAAAAATCATCTTTTAAGAAGGAACAAATTCATTTTATTCTAGAAGGAATTTTACTCATTTTAACCAATAATATTTTTTGGTTCCAAGATCAATTTTTCCTACAGATCTGTGGTACAGCGATGGGCACCAAGTTTTCCCCCAGCTATGCTAACCTTTTCATGGCATACTGGGAAGAACAGTTTATTACCAGTGGCCATGGCTGGACGGCAAACTTGGTGTCCAACCGCAGATATATAGATGATATATTCTTTATCTGGAAAGGCAGTAATCATGAACTGGTGGATTTTCTCCAGTTTCTCAACAGCAATGATTGGGCATTAAATTGACTTGTAATACCAGCAATACGGAAATTAATTTTCTAGATTTGAATATCTATATTAAAGAATCAACTATTTTTTACCAAGAATTACTTCAAACCTGTGGACACCAACAGCTATATTAATAGAACCAGCTGTCACCATACTCCCTGGCTTACCAATGCCCCGAAAGGACTATTTATGAGAATAAGAAGGAACTGCACAGATGAAGAAGAATACACACAACAAGCAAATCATTTGATGAACCAATTTTTAGAAAAAGGCCATGAGGAAAGAGATTTGAAGAAAAATATGGAAGAAGTTAAACTTCTAGAAAGGAACCAACTTTTGAAATATAAGTCTAAGAATACCTCTCAGAGATATAACGAAATCCCTTTTATATGTAAATATAATGGTAATACCAAAAAAATACAACAAGCCATACATAAACATTGGCACATCTTAAGAGATGATCCCATTTAAAAAAATATTCTGCCACCAAAACCGAAAATATAGAGAGGAACTAATAACTTAAAAAATATTTTAGTTAAAAGCAACCTAGAAACTACAAAACCAGACCATTTTATTAATAACCTTATAGGCTTTTATGGCTGTGGAGACTGCTTGCCATGTAGAGAAACTAAAAGTAAAAAAAGACGCCTCACAAACATAAGCAACCTGATAGGACAACCGTATAAGATAAGAGACCATCTTACATGTCACTCCAAAGGAGTTATTTATGCCCTAAAATGCAACAATCTTTACATAGGGAGAACAATCTGGCCCCTTCATGTAAGAATTGCAAAGCATTTTCGTAATATTAAAAAAGGCCTAGAAACACACTCCGTCTCCCAACACTTTTAAACCATTCATAATCAAGACCCAAAATGTATTTTTTTGTGCAATCAAATTGGTTAAAAAAGACTGGAGAGGAGGAAACTACATAAATAAATTAGGTAAAGAAGAAATTAAGTGTATCTTCAATTTTAATACTCTAATACCAAATGGTCTTAATTCTGACTTTGAGATTTGTCATTTTTTAAAAACATAATTTAAAAAAAAATAAAAAATTTATAATATAATTTTTAGTTCCTACACATGTACATTATATAAGTTTTTTATATACAAGATTTAGCAACTTTTCTTATATTTTAAATATTTATTTTCAATTCTCTATTTCTCCTTCCTTTTAAATATATGATGCTCTGATATTTTGAATCATTATATGCTACTATTTTAGTATCCTGAATTATACAGATAGATTCTTGATCTACTTTTAGTCCTATGGTGACTGTATACTGGTGTGTTTATTTTATCTACACACATACGTTTCTCCTTTAACACTAGCAGATTTTTTCTGCATTTAGCTCTGTAGTGACTATATATTTCAGATTATGTGAATATTATTTATAATTCTGTCCCCATATTATGGTGTTTTATATGTTTTTGGGCATTAACTTTTTTCTATTCATTTTCATAAAGCACTTACTCTATCACACTTTTTTATCATTTTTTTTAGAATATAGATATCAATACATTGATGTTATCATTATTTTGTTACAATGATTACTTGTTTTTATTTATTTTTCATATGTCCTCCGGTATATAAATGAGGACAGGTATGTAACACACATACAGCATATGGACAATAAAGCCTTTTCTACAATTGGAACGCATATGCGTTCCAACTACGATCAAAATAGGAAATGTATCAGCAATATGAAGCCACGAATCGGAATTACGTCATCAACATGAAGCCGCAAATGAGGGACGGATATCAACCGCAAGACTTTCAGGTGAATTAAATGAAGAATCTACAGGGAGATATAAATGACTATCAACGGACAGGTAATGACATTAGCAACTGAGGAAGCCTATAATACAGGCGAAACGCGTCTTGCTACCCCAAAGTGGACTTTTTTACTTAGCCACTTTGAGTGGTTTGATACAGAAGGAGATGGTTATTTATTCTTTGTTTTTATTTGTATTTTACCTTCTAATACCTTTTACTAAAAGTATTGTTTTTCCACATTCCTTGGTGTGGATCCTTTTCCTTTTGGGACTACTAAAGGACGCAGAATCAGCCACTACACCTATAGGGAGTGGGATCCCTTCAAACTATCCCACAGGCGTTTAAACTGAGCCATACACATCTGGCTCTGTCCTTCTATTCCACTATACTTTTTCAAACTACCTCATACCTTGTACCCAGGAACCAAGATACTCCACCTATTGTGTATGTATATGTCTGTTTTGGATTTGTGTGGATAGAGAGGTTACCACACAGGTGTTTAGAGTTACTTGGTCAGTGTTTGGGTCACACACTTAGACTCTGTATTTTTATTTTATTTGATTTCAATACGGAGACCTCTCTGGATATAAATCTTTCAAAATCCGTGGCGATGCCTTTCCACCTGTTGGTCCCAGACACCACCATAAGACAGACATAACACTTTAAAATAGCGACAGACAAGTTAAATACCTAAGAATAAACAGCTGACCCTACTTCCCTATTCAGGAAAAACTATACCCCACTCTTTCACACCCTCATAGGAGACCTGGAGAAGTGGACAGAGAATCCTATTCCATGGATAGGACACCATCAGTCAAAATGATCGTCCTGCCAAGACTCTCATGCATGTACCCTTTGTGTCACTATACCCCACTCCCTCTAGCATGTAAGCTCATCGAGCAGGGCCCTCAACCCCCTCTGTTCCTGTACGTCCAGTGGTCTGATCTCAATTATGTGTCTGTTAATCCACCCATTGTACAGCGCTATGGAATGCTATGGGATGCCGACCTGGGAGAGGTACTTGAGGGAACAGACTGGCAGGATATCTGGAAGGCATGTACAAAAGTATCCATGTGTGTAACATTACTGGAACAATGGTACATTATTTAGGTGGTACACAACGCCGGTTAAGCAATGTCATATGAGTTGAGTCCCACTGATACCTGCTGACACCTTTGCGGTAATAACGGAAGCTATGTACACATGTGGTGGCAATGCCCAAAAGTAATGGAATATTGGGGAAAGGTGGTGTACCTCAGCTCAAGTTCTCCAAAGGCGACTGGAGCCTGACCCTTGGCGGTGGCCTCAAGAGATGAACAAAAATTACTAAAAACATGATTTACCTGGCAGCTCGAAGGGCATTGACACAAAAATGGGCAAGCCCAGAGTTACCACATATATCCATACTAATAGCAATGATCAGGGACAACTACCTCATGGACAAGTTAACAGCACAAGTCTGCAACACCACCGCAACTTTTACCAAGGTACGGGAGCTCTGGGAATAATATGAGGAATAACCCCTTAGACATACGAACCTCGGAGACCTCCCCCATTCCCACCCACCCAGGTATATGGTCGCTTCCGAACAAAGAGCAGAGACGCAATCCCCTGGTATCGCAGAGCCAGTTTTCGTTTTTTGTTCATATCTTCCATGTTATAGGGTTCATAAAAAAGGAAAAATCTCTGAAAGACTAGGCACAAGCTAATCATCACTGTAAGATGTACTTTTGTAACATTTGCACGATGATGCATCTACTGAACTAAGGCTTCT